ATTAAATCCAATATGATTAGATTCCATTGTAACTGACAGGCAAAAAAAAAAAATTCTCAAAAACAGGGTTTATTTTTCTTTTAAGCACCTGAAGAATGTTTGGTGCCCATAGTGGGAAGGGTGCAGGCTTCTGCCACTCTGTTAAGCCCAGGCAGGCATATTTCTTTTCTTATCTGCAGGATCCAAATTGGATGCCACACCTCCATCCATCACACCCACATTCACTCCCGCAAAAGAGAGGAAAGGGAAGAAAAAGGGCAGGAGAACCCTGGTGTCCGAGCTGCCTTCATCCATGTGATAGGAGACCTGCTGCAGAGCTTGGGCGTCCTGATGGCAGCCTATATATTATTTATTATTATTATTATTATTTTTTTTTTAAAGCATAGTCAGCATTTTTAAAAATATATTTTATTGATTTTTTTTTTTTACAGAGAGGAAGAGAGAGGGATAGAGAGTTAGAAACATCGATGAGAGAGAATCATCGATCAGCTGCCTCTTGCACACCCCCTACTGGGGATGTGCCCGCAACCAAGGTACATGCCCTTGACCGCAATCGAACCCGGGACCTTTCAGTCTGCAGGCCGACGCTCTGTCCACTGAGCCAAACCGGTCTCAGCGGCAGCCTATATTTTATACGTCAAGCCGGGGTACAAGGACGCAGACCCCGTGTGCACCTTCATCTTCTCCACTCTGGTCCTGGGGACAACTTTGACCATCCTGAGAGACGTGGTCCCGGTGCTCATGGAAGGTACCCCCAAGGGCGTGGACTTCACAGCTGTGAGGGACCTGCTGCTGTCCGGGGAGGGGTAGAAGTCTTGCACAGTCTGCGCATCTGGGCCCTGACCGTGACGCAGCCCGTGCCGTCTGCCCACATCGCCGCTGCTCAGGACACGGACGCCCAGGCGGTGCTGGAGGCGGCCGGCGCCCGCCTACGGGCAGCTCCACTTCTGCACCATGGCCACTCCAGATGGAGGACTACTCTGAGGACAGCAAGGACTGTCAGGCGTGCCAGGGCCCCTTGGACTGACTGCCATGTCCAACTGGAGCAGATGGTAGGGCCCCCTGACCCCAGGCCCAGCCAGGATGCTGTCTACCCTGGCTGTGTCATGAACCAGATCCCTCTTCTCATGTTAGCTCCCTGTTCAGCGCCAAGGAGCTTTGCCCACCCCAGGAAGGGGGCTCTTCCCCTGCCCCCCTCTCCCCCATCTGACTCTGGCAGCCCCAGGATGGGGACTCGGGAGGTACAATCCCTCTCCTCCTGCTCCTGGGTCAGTTCCTGGCGGGGCAGGGTTTGGGCAGACTCCTCCGCCAATGCTCTCTTACCACCAGCCTCAGGGAAAGGCAGCGAGGGATGCTAGAGGGGGGCCTGGCCGCAGCACCCCTGCCTACCTGCCTCATTTCCCACCTTCTTGGCCTTAGAAATCTGTAAAGAAATCTTGGGACTGAGCCCCCTCCCTCTGCCTCTAACACGATCTGGCTTAAGGAGGCCGTGGGGGTCAGGGGGTTGTGAGACAAACTAGTAAGCCAGGACAAGTGGAATAGGGAAACCGAGATAGATCAATAGATGGCCAGGCAGGCTCCAGCCAGCCATTGAGTACATCCAAGGACACTCCCCTAGCCAAGGACGCTCAAGAGTAAGTGGTTTGCACTTCTCCCCAACCAGAGGATATGTAAGTAGCTAAAATCTCAGGAAGACAGCCCTCACCGGTTTGGCTCAGTGGGTAGAGCGTCAGCCTGCAGACTCAAGGGTCCCAGGTTCGATTCCGGTCAAGGGCATGTACCTTGGTGGCAGGCACATCCCCAGTGGGTTGTGTGCAGGAGGCAGCTGATTGATGTTTCTCTCTCATCGATGTTTCTGATTCTCTATCCCTCTCCTTCCTCTCTGTAAAAAATTAATGAAGTGTATATTAAAAAAATTAAAATCTCAGGGAGTCAGATAACAAAACCAATGAGTGCCATTTATACCAACCATATCCAAGGACAGATGAAGGCAGGGGAATAAGTCTCATTTTGGTGCAGCAGCATAAAGCTGATTAATATTCTATTGAGAGCCTCCCCTAAACTCCCTCAAGATGAAGAACTTTGGAGCCTTTCCCTTCTCCCTCACCCCCCACCCCCATGCGCATTACCTCTGCCTTTTTCCTGAGCTCCAAGGGCCCTTCTGTAAGTTTCTAAACAATCTTTCTCTTAAAATTTAATAAATAAATAAACAAACAAATAAATAAATAAAGAAGCCACATCTTAAATGTAATGACCCAGACTGAATCCTTCCCTAGGGAAATGTACTCTCCTTCCAGATTCTCATCTTCCCACCTGGTCAACCAGGAACCTGGACATCTCTCTGTTTTTCACCAAATGAAGCTGATTCTTGCTGTTTCTGTTCTTCCCTCTACCCCCTCCTCCTGGCCTTGGGTATTCCCCTGGAAAAATGGGGTAAATGTGTGGGACTAGACCCTTGAGGGCATTAGTATCTCCTTTTACTCAGACGTAGACAGTTCTCGGTGACATGGCCACAGCTTCTCACTTTCTGAAGCACAGCGGTTTCCCGAAGCCCCCGGGGCTGTAGCTCTGGTCTCCAAGTTCATTTTAGGGCACTGACTTTCAAGGGGTTTTGATTGCAACTCCCCAGTAAGAAATACATTGTATGCTGTGACCGAGAACATAAAGACACAAATATAAAATGGAAACATAATTTCCACAGAACAATACTTTGACTGTTACCTGGAATTTGATATTTTGTTTTCTACGCTATTCCATTTTTTTTTTAAACTTAAAGTTGATTCCACAATGCAATGAGTCACAACTCATAGTTTGCGGAACCTTTTCCTAGGACTCACATCCTAGTTAGGAAGTGTCAAGACCCAGCACAGTGCAGTGACTAAGGCTCACACGCTGGGACACACTGCCAGAATTAAAGCCCTTGTTCTAAGTGTGGCCTTGAGCAAGTTACCTAACCTTTCTGTACCTCCATTTCCTTGTCTTCCAAATGGGAGAATAACAGAACCTATGTTGTAGGTATGTTGTGAAGATTGAGACATCCTATATAATAAAAGGCTAACATGCAAATCAACTGAACAGTGGAACTACGGGTTTCTATGACACGCACTGACCACCAGGGGGCAGACGCTCAATGCAGGAACTGCCCCCTGGCGGTCAGTGTGCTCGCACAAGAGGAGCGCAGCTCAGCCAGAAGTTGGGCTCACAGCTGGCAAGTGCAGTGACGGTGGCAGGAGCCTCTCCTGCCTCTGCGGCAGCAAAAGGATGTCTGACTGCTGGCTTGGGAGCGGGCCTAAGCCATCAGTTGGACAGCCCCTGAGGGCTCCTGGACTGTGAGAGGGTGCAGGGCTGAGGGCCCCCCCAAATATGCAAATTTCATACACACACACACACACACACACATACACACACACACTGAGTGGCCAGATTATTATGATCTCTGAACGCATAATAACCTGCCCACTCAGTCTATATCCTATATAATAAAAGGCTAATATGCAAATTGTCCACTCAACCAGGAGCTTGACCAGCAGGCAGGCCAGCTAAACGCCAATGTCCCCACCTCCTATTGCCAGACTGGCTGGACCTCACCCATGCATGAATTCGTGTACCAGACCTCTAATATATATATATATATATATATATACACTCACACACACACAGTCACACGCACATACACACACACACACACACACACACACACACACACACTGAGTGGCCAGATTATTATGCGTTCAGAGATCATAATAATCTGGCCACTCAGTGTGTATATATATATATATATATATATATGTAATTTCCAGACAATTGGCAGTCATCTAGTAAGTGCTTTCTAAGTGTCATCTGCCATTATTATTATTTCCATAATAATTTTTAAAATCATCTTTGATCTCTCTTGTTATCCCACCCTATAATGAAGCTAAGTTGCAGTACCACTGGTGGGGGCACCAAAGTACCAAACAGTTTATTTAAAAGCTGAACAAAACCACACAGTGTGCTGCCCCCTGGCCCTTCTTTGCAGGAGAGAAGAGGAGGGAAGGCCTTTACCCACCATGGCTGGTGTTCTGACTTCTGGGTCTGCAGTGAGTCCCTCTGCTCTTCAGTAACAAACATTTCATTTCCTCACTTGCTTTTTGTGATCACCTAGAATCCCACACCCCCAAAGTGAGGAGGGCTTAGTGTGCATCTCGGGGACCATATTAGAATGTCAGTCCATAGAAGAAGAAGAAGGAGGAGGAGAAAGAGGAGGAGGAGGGGGGAGAGAGGGTAAGGGGGAAGAGAAGCAACACACTTTCCAGTTATGCCAAAGGCTGGCACGTTACCACCCACCTCAGCAAATCAGATGCTCTGATGGTCAAACTGAGGGACCAAAGGGGCATCTGCCACCTGGAGGGTGGGAATCAAATTCAAGAACATTCTATCAATCACCCAAAGGACCGATTCAGGAAATAAAGAACGGGAGACTTGGAATAAATGTTTCATTGGTCATGATGATCAAAAGATGATGGTTAACACACACACACACTCAGACCTCATCCCACCTGTTGCAGGGCTGAAGCAACACCTCTGGGGCCCCCACTCCCTCGCTGGGCACCCCCTGCAGCCGCTGCCCCACTCGGGACTCTGCCCTTCCCTCAGACTTCTCTGTGTTCAATTCCTCAGCGTGGTGCCTGGACGCTCACGGTCGAGAAAAGCCGAGGACTTGCCTGAGTCTGCGGTGGGCCGCGTTGCAATGTCCATGAATCCTTCTCCGTCTCCCTTTCCCACCTCCTTCCTCTCCCCTCTCCCGCCCCATCGTTGTTCCCCAGAAACAAATAGGATGGCTTCACGGGTCAATTCTTCACACGTACAAACACGGAAAGCAGAGGGAACACCCCTGGCCGCCCCCCCTCCCCCCAAACCCCAGTGCTGCGAGAGCAGCCGGCGGCGGGCGAGGCTGCCTCGGGAACGCGGAGCTGCTGCAGCTGTCCGGCTGTTCTGGAAACTTCTTTGGCCTCTGGGCTTTACCTGGAGGCCTCTTCCTTCAGCTCCTTGTTTTTCCGCACCTCTTCCGCGTGCTTGTCCTGGGAGGGAAGGGAAGGGAAAGGGCAGGTTACCCCCAAGGGGAGCAAGGGACCGACCAGAGAACCCAAAGAATGGCCACCGCAGGGAGTGAAGAGCAGGTCTCAAGGAGTCCTGAGGAGGGACAGAAGGCGGCAGGTGAGACCGGCAGGAGGCAGGTGAGGAGTCTGCTGGTATGGCCTCAGGTAGTTCACTGACTGGAGTCAACCTCCCTGGGGTCCCACCTCATGATGACCCCAGTGCCCACCAGCCTCTTCCTCCCTCACCTGGCCATCCTGGGGTTTGCAGTTAATAGAAGCAGCCGCTCAGTGTAGCTGCTAAAGGAATGGGCCGAGCAGACGGGCCTCATTGCAGGAGTCCCCTACCTGCACCTGGACTGCCACTTTTTTACTTCTTGTCTGTCTCCTTATGGGAGTTGCCTAAGCCCCTGGGTGAAAGATGAGGACTCTTCAAGTATCAATGGACTGAAGAGTTCTTGGAAGTGCTGCCCAGCTCCAGAAGCTGAGCTTTCTTACAGGTGTAGTACGAGAGCCCTCTTTTGTTCCACAGCAGGACGAAGCCACAAGATGGGCTCTGACTTCAGAGGCCTGTGAGCTGTGTGACCGCGACCAGCTCGCTTCACTGGTCAGGCCTCAGAGAGGGGCACACATGCCGAAACTGGTTTGGCTCAGTGGATAGAGCGTCGGCTTGTGGACTGAAAGGTCCCAGGTTCCATTCCTCGGTCAAGGGCATGTACCTTGGTTGTGGGCACATCCCCAGTAGGGGGTGTGCAAGATGCAGCTGATCAATGTTTCTCTCTCATCGATGTTTCTAACTCTCTGTCTCTCTCTCTTCCTCTCTGTAAAAAAAATCAATAAAATATACTAAAATAAAATAAAAAAAGAAAAGAAAAAAGAGAGAGGGGCACAGAAAGGAAGCTCCTTTACTGCTAGGATTCTGCAATTTTAGTGTTTACCTCTAGGGCCTACCCTTACAACTCATTCATTGCGCACAGATCCAGGTCCTCCACTGGGGGACTTCCTTGTGGGCAGGGGGCATGCCTGGTTGGTTTTTGTATTTTCCAGTCCCTCCTGTGGCACCTTGCTCATGGGAGGTGCTCAATAAATATTGTCACTGCCAGACCCTGACCTCCATCCAGATATAATCACATCCAGATATCAAGAATCAGCCTAGAACGTGCACACTGAGGTTCTTAGGATATATCTTTAACTACCAATCTGTTCCTGCGGAGGCCCTAGAATTTTCCATGATCCTGGGGAAAGTATGGGGAGTGGTGCTTCTAAGACAGTGGTTTTCAACCTTGCTATGTGTACCAGCATGACCTAGAAAGAATGTTGAACTGCAGGTCCTCAGGCACCATCCCTAGAGAGCCATCATGAGTAGATTTGAGTTATGATCCACGTACCTGTAGGATTAAACTTGACACCAGGTGAGTCTGGTGTAGGTGGGCAATGACCCCACACAAATGCTGACAGAGGCATTGTGGAAGGTGCCCCTGGCCTGAGCCAGGGCAGAAACCACACACCCATCTCTTTCCTTCATTAGTGGACAAGGTTGAATAAAGGTCAAGAGCCCAGAGAAGTGAGGCCCACTCGAATGTCTGCTCCAACATCTTGCTTCTTTGAGTCTTACCTGACCGCCAAAGTTTGGGTCTTTCCAATCTCTCAAAATCTACCTCCATGTCCAGGTGAGCTCCCTGGGAAGAACCCTAGGTTTCTGGACTCCATTTCCTTGGCCCCCAGTGACACCCTGTCTCTGACAAAAGGCCAGCAGGACAACTGGGTGCTGGTTTCCCTGACATAAGCATTGAAGGAGCTGCCTGGAGACAAAGCCAAAGAAGTGGGTTCCAGTCTCAGCTTAGTGGTTGTGTGTCACTGGGCAAGTCATTTGACCTTCTCTGACACGGTTTCCTCATTGGTAAAACAAGGATAACATCTGTCCTGCTTACCTCATGGACTGGTTGTGAGAGCAGGGGAATGATGAAATAAGAAGTGTTGGGCAATCTTTCAAATACCATATCATGCTCTACTAAGCTTCAATCATTTCTTCTGGGTTTGGTCCGAGAGCCGTGCCTCAGCCTTTCTCAGTCCCAGATTTTTTTTTTTTTTCCTGGAAGAGTTTGCTCCTAACCACCCTTCAACAACTGAAAAAGTTTGAAATTAGACAAGATCACTTCCCTCCTAACTAGTACTTGATGGAGGCCTTGCTGCCCCCAGAAGTATGAGAGCAGATGGGCTGCCACATGCTGGCCAACTGCAGGACCTGTGGACCATTCAGAGCCCCTGTGAAGAAACTAGATCTTTCTGTTGTGAGGGACCTGGGACTCTAGGTGGACAGGCAGGAAGGAGTGGGGACCACGCTGCTCACCATGGGACGAGGCCACCGATCGGGTCCCGGGAGTCACCGCGCAGCAGGCGGCTCCTGGAAATAAAACACAGAGCTGGAGCTCTCCCAGGAGCTGCGGGAGAAACTGGGGCAGCCTTGAGACTCAGGAAACGAGGCCAGCGTATTCTTAGCAGAACGGGGCTGTTATGCTGCTGACACGGGAGACCAACCTCAGCGTCTCACGTTTCTCATATTTAGGTGACACCGTTTGGTTTATTGACAAAAGCCAGCATATTGGAAAGGCTCATGACTCCCTCAGTCCCTATCAATAGAGTTGGAAAGAATCGTATTTCCTGCTTAGTGGGCAGCTCCGGTCATCGCGCCCCTGGCTTAGAGCCAAGAGCTCAAGTCAGCATCTTTCATTGAGTGGAATCGGTCCATTCAAGGATAAAGCCAGGGGTGCACAGCTGCTTGCTTATTCCTCCTCCTTTGCGTTCTCTAGATAAGAGCTTGCATCTCCCTGAGACAATGAGAAATCTCAACTGTGTAGCTGTGCAGCACATCCTCCAAAGAATTCCAAAGCTCCATTTATGTTTCTTGCCTAGGGCTTCCCAAACCATCCCTTGGAACTTGTTAAGGACCCAGCCTAGCGGAAATATCCTCATTCCTGCCCGAGGCTGCCTGGGCCCTGAAAGGACGAAAAGGTCTATGATGCTTGCCATGGAAGGAAGAGCGCGACCCAGGAGTCTCCTCTCCGATTCAAGACCACTTACCTTCTCTTGCAGCCGTTCCAACATGGCAGCAAGGTGGGCCTCTCGGTTCTCCTTATTGGATTCCATCTTCTGGGCCAGCTTTTCTTTAGCCATCTTGATGAAGTTATTGTTTTCCTCAATGGCTTTTTGGATCACCTCCCGCTCGTGTTCCCGCTTCTCCGCGAGGTGCTTCAGGAGCTCAGCTTCCTGGTACTAGGAAGGCACAGAGGGAGAAAGAGACGCTTGAAGGTGAGCATGCTGGGTACATTTTTATCATCTGACTTAAAAGCTCTACACCCAGAACACACGCCTCCCTGAACCTGGCCCCCAGCCTACCTCTTAGATTCTCCACCATACGCCCAATTCTCTTTTCCTCATGACGATCATTCATTCTTACATTCAAAAATATTAAATGACCATATACTACTAGAGGCCTGGTGCACAAAAATTGTGCACTGGGTGGGGGGAGGGCTTTCCCTCAGCCCAGCCTGCACCCTCTCCAATCTGGGACCCCTCAGGGGATGCCCAACTGCTGGTTTAGTGACCCAAACTCCCCATCTCTCATTTTCAGACCAAACCCATCCTTTCTTTTTAACCACCAGGAAATTAAGAGGTGACTTGTGCTCTGACCACCCCCAATCAGAATGTGGGCATTCAGTGCTTCCTGCCAGCATCCAGAGACACCTGTGGGATTGGGCCTAAACTGGCAGTCAGACATGCCTCTCACAATCTGGGACTGCTGGCTCCCAACTGCTTGCCTGCCTGCCTGCCTGATTGCCCCTAACTGCTTCTGCCTGCCAACCTGATCACTCCCTAACTGCTCCCCTGCCAGCCCGATTGCCTCCCATTGCCCTCCCCTGCCAGCCCGGTCACCCCCAACTGCCTTCCCCTGCAGGCCTGGTTCTCCCCAACTGTTCTGCAGGCCTGGTTGTCCCCAACTGTCCTTCCCTGTCGGCATTATTGCCCACAACTTCTCTCTCCTGCTGGCCATTTTGTGGCAGCCATCTTGTGACCACATGGGGGTGGCCATCTTATGACCACATGGGGGGTGGCCATTTTGTGCAAGGCCATGATGGTCAATTTGCATATTACCTCTTTATTATATAGGATGTGCCAGGCACTCGTCTACCAACTTGGGAAAGAAAAAAGTCTAATAGAGATAACATACATCAATAACTCAAACCAAACTAGCATGTATCATGTGCCTCAAGAGGCAGAGGGGAAGTGTTATAGGAGTCCAAGGGAGGAGAAGATTATTTTCTGTTTAAAAGATGAAGAAAAATGTATACAAAAATTGGCATCAGAGGTGGGCCATAAGAATTAATATGATAGGAAACAGCAGACATACCAAGGACCCTTCTTCTCCCTTCCCAGTTAAGGAGCCCCCTTTTTACTTTTTTGTCTTTTCCTAAATCTTTATTGTCAGTGTCTTACTCTTGCCTCTGTGCCTAGAAGGCCACCACTTGGAGGTAGAAAATGCAGCGCCTTAGCCCCCTAACCTAACTGTAAGCGCCTACAGACCAGGGATGTTTACTTTGTTGTTTCTCTCTATGAGGTCCCGTTCTCTGCCCTAGGGATGGGAAGTGCTGTCTAAATATTTGTAGGTGGAAGGAGACCTGACCCCAGCTGAGAGCCACCACCTGTCTTCTCCAGCTCCTCCCCACTCCTGCTGAGATGGAGGGAAGAACGAACAGCACTTACCTTCCTTCGCTCTTCTGCTGCTTCTAGTTTCTTCTGGATCTCTTCCAGCGACGGGTCTCTCCGCCGGGGCAGGGACGCGTTGAACTCGGGCACCCCATCGAAGGAGGGCGGCTTCAGGATGACTTCAAAGGACTGGCCTGAGGTGCATTTATTCAGCTCGATGACTTCCATGTCAGAGATCACACACCAGTTCAGGTCCACCGTGTCCGCTGCAGAGAGAAGCGAAGGGGCTGCTCACCCCCTGAAGCCTGCACGGGCGCCCGTAAAGCAAACACACATCCCTGGGAGACCTGGGTGCCCAAGGCACACCAGTGGCCAAAGTTCTGGGTCTGTCCTCAACGTGGCACCTAAGTCCCATGGGCTCTGATGGGGGATGAAGGAGTGGGTAGCCACAGTGAGGGCTCGGGCTCCCAGTTTAAGGTCCCAAGATATTTGATTTCTGATCATGGCTGTAGCCACGGCGTTTGCGTCTGCCACAAGGCTCTTCCCATAGTTGAGCTCTTGCTCAGATTGTCATCTCTGGTGGCCAACAGTGTGCACTTACCCACCACCCACCACCCACCCACTTCTTCACTCCTCCTCCCACTACCAGTCTGATGTCTCAGCCTGTTGACGCCTCTCCCCCTCTCCCTCCTACCCTGCTCTCTTCTTTCTCTCCAGTCAGCACTGTCTTCCCGCTGGCTTTGATCTTTTCTCCTACACTGTCTCCCACACCAGCCTAAACAATGGAAAAAAACAATCTCAGGTAACCCAAACACCCCCATCTCTCATTTTCAGACCAAACCCATCCCTTCTTTTTAACCCCCAGGAAATGAAGAGGTGATTTGTGCTCTGACGACCCCCAATCAGGATGTGCCAATTCACTGCTCCCTGCCAGCATCCAGGGACACCTGTTCTGGGGCCGGTCAGCGTGGCTACCACAGAGCCTCCTTGGGCACAAACCCTCTTCCCACCTCTGGGCTCTCTCCTGGAATTCTCTACCCTTCCCGGAGGAGGCTTGGTAACTACGGAGCCTAAGGATGTGCACCTGTCTCGCCTCCTCTTCCAGGCGAGATGTTCCCCGAGGGCATAATCATAGGATCATTTGTTAAGGGAATGAACAAAAGCTGAGATCAAGAGCACTCTGCACGGGGTCTGAGTCAGACCTTCGCCTGCTGCCTACTCCCCAGGTCCAGCCCCCACGTCTGCCTTCACCTGGTGCTTAGACCCTAGGAGTCAGCGGTAGTGATTTTATTGGTTCTGGGAAATCAATGGTGACGTGGGCAGGAGAGGTGCAGGGAGCTGGGGTACCCCAGCCACAGGAACCCTCCTCCCATTCCTTTCCTAACCGTGGCCCTAACGTACCTTCGTATTTGTAGGATGACTTGTTCAGGGGGTCGGCCAGGAAGCAGGAGCAGAACAGGGACACCAGCGGGAGCTCCTTCATCTTCTCCTTGTAGGCTGTGGGAACACCCGCAGGTGAAGACGGCCACTCTCCCCTAGTCTCAGAGCCAGCATCTGTGGGAGTCCGGCTGCCCCAGCAGCCGGGGGTACCGGGCTCTGCAGGGGCATCCAGACCCATCCCTTGGCTGGGGACCCAGCCCTCCTTTGCCCCAAGTGGCCCTGTTTAGGACTCCTGCATGTGATTTGAACCCAATTCTGTCCACCTACTAGAAGCGGAACCTTCCAGAGCACACGGATGGCACCATCTTTCCCCTGGCACTTCGTCCCCCTTCCTAATGCCGAATGGAAGGTGCTCTCAGGGAAAGAACCCACACACCAGCCCCACCCAGCCAGGCATCCTGGAGCAGGCTCTCTAGTTCCCCACAGCTGCCCAGGATTCTCCATTTCTTATGCTGCAGGCAGTGTTTTCCTGGAAACACTGGAGCTAAAGAAGTAGGAAAAAAAAGCTCACGCCCACCCCTCTGCTCTTGCCTCACTGGGTGGCAAGGTCAGGCGGTGAGCGCCTTCCCTGACCTTCCCAGAACAGTAGTCACAGCCAGAGGTGCTGATGTCCATGAGAGCTCAAGTGGTACCCCTTCCACTGTCTAGTCTTTCTGTGCCTGGGAGGTTTTGAAAACCAGAAGGTCAAGGATACGTGATTTCTGATCATGGCTGTAGCAACTGCTTTTGCTTCTGCCACAAGGCTCCTCCCATAGTTGAGCTCAGATTGTCATCTCTGGTGGCCAACAGTGTGCACTTACCCACCACCCACCACCCACCACCCATCCACTTCTTCACCCCTCCTCCTGCTATCAGTCTGATGGCTCACTCCTGGCATGTTCCTAGCATGGCCCCCACCCTCACGGCCTTGTTTTAAGCTCAGGCTCTCTCTGCTCTCAGCTAAAGCCCAGCGCGATGCCTAGGCATGCTCCTCCTCATTTCCATTTCCAAATTGAAAACATAATTGACTTAAAAAAAATAATATACATGGACTGGATGGTTTGGCTCAGTGGATAGAATGTCCACCTGCAGACTGAAGGGTCCCAAGGTTGATTCCAGTCAAGAGCACAATCCCCAGTAGGAGGGGGCATGCAGGAGGCAGCCAATCAGTGATTCTCTCTCATCATTGATGTTTCTATCTCTCCTTCTCCCTTTCTCTCTGAAATCAATAAAAATATATTAAAAAAATACATGTGCATGAAAAAAAATTTTTTAAAGCACACACACAGAAGAGCAAAAGGAAAAAGAACTCAGCTTTGATCCCACCGTCTAGTTAGAACCTCTTGCAACCCCGGGTGTAATTCTTTTCTCCTGTGCGTATGTAGGTACATATATGCGAGCACAGAATTAACCTGTGCTGGTGCCCCATCACTTAAATAGGTTTGTACCTACCAGCAAGGGTCATGTTTTCTGGGATGTGAGAGCTGAGTCCACTGAGAATCACAGAGTAGATCTGTCACCAGCTCAGGGCGCTGTTGCAAACCTGAGAAAAAGAGAATATTGTTACCACTGACAGGTTATTTGCAAAGGAAGAAGGGAGGAAACCCCAGGAGGCACCTCATCAGCCCCCACATAAGATCAAGTTTTCTTTTTTTTTTCTTAATATTTTATTGATTTTAAGGGAGAGAGATAGAGAGTTAGAAACATCAATGAGAGAGAATCATCAATCAGCTGCCTCTTGCATACCCCCTGCTGGGGATGTGCCCGCAACCAAGGTACATAACCAGAATCAAACTGGGGACCTTTCAGTCCGCAGGCCAATGCTCTATCCATTGAACCAACCGGTTTTGGCGAGACCAAGTTTTCTTATCTCCACCCTTTATATGTTGTTCATTGGCAGAATATCCCCATGCCATCTCCTGGCCAATTCTGACTTGCCATTTAAGACTGTTGTGTGCTGCTAACACCAGAGAGCCCTATCTGGCTCTCCAGGCCTGCTGCGGAGTATACAGTCCCATCTCTGTGCTCCCACAGTAGTCCTGCACACTGGTTACCATCTCTATACTACTTTTATTTTTTTTAAATAATCACTGGAGGACATTTTTTCCATTGATATTTAGAGAGAGCGAAAGGGAGGGTGGCCCAGTCAGCATGATTCAGTAGTTGAGTGTTGACCTATGAACCATGATATCATGGTTTGATTTCTGGTCAGGGCACATGCCCAGGTTGTGGGCTCTATCCCCAGTGTATGGGGCGGGGCATGGAGGAGGCAGTCAATCAATGATTGATGCTTCTGGTTTTCACCAGCCCTGCAAACACTGTCATCCCCATTTGCAGATGAGGGGATGGAGGCTCAGAGGGCTCATGTGGCTAGAAAGCAAAAGAATGGAGCTTTGACACCAGGCCAGTTGGCCTTGAAGTGCTCTATTCCTGCAGCGTCTCCTTATGCTTTAGAGTTAGAGGCCCTGCCACGCCCCTCCCAGCACCGCACAATGGGCCTCTCTCCTCAAGTCAAGCCGATCCTGACAGTACCAGCGAGCCTCTGAACAGGCCTTCGAGCCTGGATGTGACATCCGGAGTCATGAGCCTCCTTTCTACACCATCTCTGCTCATGACTCCGCTGATGGTGAAGGCAACTGGTAGTGCGCAGGAGCCCTTGCCAAGAGAGGGAGCGGCCTCCGACTTCCCCCTGAGAAAGCAGGAGATGGAGCTGAGTTTTCCCTAGAGGAGCAGGTGCCTGGAGTCGGGGACCATGCTCCTCAGCGTGAGCTGGGAACGATAATTAAGACCCCGCATTTATGGAGCACGATGCAGGTTACAGCTCCTGTCACCCACATGGTCCCACTTGATCTTTGCATGGGGTTGGGCTTGGCTGACCAGAGAGGCATCATCAACTTCATTTTCAGATGAAGAATCTGGGGCTCAGAGCAGTTAAGACTTTTGGTGAAGGTCACACCCCCAGTGGGAGGTAGAGATGGTTCTACGATCCAGATTGTCTGATTTGTCCACTCTTCCTCATGGGCAGGGGAAGGACTAGACGGTGACTGCTCATTCTTTCATGGTGCTGGGGACTCGGGAAAAGCCAGTCTGGCTTGAAGATACGATTTAATTAAAATGTGTAATAAGTGCTTCCTACACTTCTATGGGAGATACTGTGCTCAGAGTTTTAGGACAGAAAGAACCAGGCAGAGCACACAGGTCCGAGGGGCAGAGAAGGAAGATCAGGGCAGGGCATAGCAATCACCCTAGATGCAGATGGACAGAGGTGTGTGTGGCCAAGGGCTTTGTAGCTGAGAGCACTCAGTCTCATAGATAAAATATGACAGGGAGAGAGAGAAACAAAGGGAGAGAGAGAGAAAGAGAGAGGGAGGGAGAGAGAGATATCTTATATTATCAGATATGCATAATTAAAAATATGTATTCATAGAGCATCTACTATGTGATAAATGCTTTCACTTTAATCTTCATAATAACCTTGTGACATAGGAATTGCTCTCCCTGTCTTACAGATGTGGGGATTGAGGCTCAGAGAGGCTGTGACTTTCTAAGATCACTCAGTGTCGTGAGTTGAATGGTGTCCTCCAATGAGGTATAGCCAAGTCCTCACCCCTGCACCTTATAAATGTGGCTTCATTTGGAAAGATCTTTACAGATTTAATTAAGTGAAGGATCTCAAGATGAGGTCATCCTATATTAACTGGGTGACACCTAAGTCTGATGATGAGTCCTTAAAGAGACATACAAAGGAGAGACACACCAAGAAGAAGAGCATGGAAAGGTGGAGGCAGCAGTTGGAGCGGTGCTGCCATAAGCCAGGGAAGGGCCAAAGCCACAGAAGCCACGGGAGTCTTTGGAGGGAGTATGTCCCTGCGGACAACTTGATTTTGGACTTCCGGGCACCAGGCCTGTGAGAGAAAGCATTTCCATTGTTTGAAGCCACTGAGTTTGAGGTCATTTGTCCCAGTTGCCATAGGAGACGAATGTACCCAGTAAGTGACAGAGCCGGGGTTCAAAACCCATCATTCCTTTACCTTATCTCACTACCAGTGTTTTCACACAGTCTGATGTTTTCCTCAAGGTAATCTGTGTACATGTGCTTATGGGTACCCAGGGATCTTTTTAAATCTTTGTGGCAATAGTTACATCGTTTCTATTGCACTCAAGACCCAAAAGATGTTGCTGCCCATGAGATAGTCTGAGAAAGGAGATAATAGGAAGGGGCCAGTGAGGAGTGCATGACTCTTCTGAAGGGCCCAGCAATGCAAAGAGGCCTAAGCCATTGGCTGGTGGCAGCCGCAGCAGGAAGCCTGGCTTTACCCCTAATTAGCCTGTGGGGTCAGTGTTGGGAGGGACTGTCACACAGACTCCATAGCACTCAGCCTGGCTGTGAGAGCTCCAGATCATCACATGGGTTGGGCCCAGATTGAAGGCACATCACTGGGAAGATCTAGTGATGTTAACCTAGGGCCCAAAGGCTGTTAAGAACAGTTCTTAGGTCTCCTATCTTAGACACCAACTGCCCAGGCCATTCTTTTGGGCAGGTCCAATCAACCCTAAGGCCCACACCAGCCTTAGTCCTAGAGGCCAGGGCCCTACAAGCTTCTCACAGTGCTGTGGGATCTGGTAAGTGGCTTGGTTGTTTGGGTCATGTTATCATGCCTGCAGTGGGATCAGCAGTTCTGTCCTGGGACTGTCAGAGAAGGGGCAGTACGGGTGTTATTGCCCAAGGTCAGAGAGAACAGAATGCCAGGAATTCCAGGAGGCAGGACAGAGATTGAGATCATGGAGACCAGTGCAGGCATGAGGCCATGAAGTCAGGCCCATCAGTGGGAGACTCTAGGAGGACATCATACATCAGAGCATCATAAGACAGTACCCCAGCTGAGGAAAAACTCTAGCCCTTGCATGTTTTCTGTTAAGGCAGAGGCCAATCCCAGGCCTTGGGTAGCCCCTAAGAAAGACCGCAAACTGAAGGCATCCAGTGGTAGCAAAGATCAAAGGGGCCCTTTTGATCAAAGATCAAAGGTTGATGTGTCACAAAAACTCAGGTGGTAACTACAGAACCACAAATAGAACTCCCAGTGCTCACTCCCATACTTCTGATGGATGCAGACAAGAGGGCAAGGCCAGCCTGGGCAGCCCAGTCCCTGTGCTGTCAGTTATGATCCAGCATGGCAGGTGATGAGAGTGACTCAAGCTTCAGATGCTAAAGGTGAGAATGCGATAGGCGTATTATGCAGTTTAGTTTCTGCAATGCCTCTAATCTTGGAGTGGCTTTGGAACTTGACTGTGAGATGGCTGTGCAATGGAGTTTCTTGGAAGTCAGAGGGGTCCCTTTGAGCTGCATGCAGGGAGCCTTGGGACCGATTGCTGGAATGGGAAGGAGACAACCAGAGACCTCCAGACCGAGGAAAGAGTTTGTGCTTTATCTTCAGTTCAGTCGGAAGCCACTGACGTCTTTTGAATAAGGGGAGAGGATAATAGCGATAATAATGGCTACCATTTCTTGAGCACCTGATTTGTACCGGGAAAATCACAGACATTATCTCAGTTTATTCTCTGAGGCTCTTTTATAACGAGGAGATGGAAGCCCAGCAGAGTCCAGTTAATTGCATCACGTCCTACAGGGAGTGAGGGGCGGAACTGGGATTTTTATTCGAAAGCCTGGCTTTACCTTTAGGTTATGCTACTAGTGCAAAAAGGTTCATCTAGCTCTGGCTGGTGTGGCTCAGTTGGTTGGGATCATGCACCAAAAGTTTGGTGGTTTGAGTCCAGGTCTGGGTACATGTCCGGGTTGAAGGCTCAATCCCCGGTAGGGGACATGCAGGAGGCTGTTGGTCAATGTCTTACTGTCAAATCCCCCCCTCTTTGTCTCTCTCTTTCTCTCTGCCTCCCTTCTCCTCTCTATAACATAAAAAAAGGGCCATCTGGCAGCATGATCTTGGGGGAAGATGCGGAGGGGAAGGCTAGAAGCTGAGCCTGGGCAGAAAGTGTTGAGGACCTGCCTGGAACAAGGTAACCCCTGGACTGTTGGCAACCCACCCAGCACTGCCTCACTGTTTGCAAACCGATCCATACATTTCCCGCAGCTCCAGCATTTAAGAAGCTCTATATGGAAAAGCAAGTAGCCACATATTGTTTTCCTGATGAGCTAAACCATTAGCATAATTAATTAGTGATAGCCTCACCAGGCAGTGAGACAGGACCATCAGGAGATAAGATGCAGATGGAGTAAGTTTTCATTTTTTGTCCTCACCCAAGAATATGTTTATTGATTTTGAGAGAGAGAGAGAGAGAGAGAGAGAGAGAGATAGTTGCTTCTGTATGTGCCTAAATGGGGAATTGAACCCAAAACCTAGATATGTACCTTGACTGAAAACATATGTAGGTTTTGGGTTCGAGCACAACCTTTTGGTGCATGGGAAGCTCCAACCACCTGAGCCATCTAGTCAGGGCAGAATAGTA